TACATTCATTATCTTTTGCAAATTCTAAAAAACCTTTTGATTAGTTATTAAACTTTTAAATTGTATATAACAATTTCACCGTCTGTATATCCTACTTAGAACACATCCACCACTTCGCTTTCACCCGGTCATAGTGATAAGTGAAAGGACGCGCCATCGAAGGACATGACTATGACTTCCTCAACTCTATACTACGTGGTCCAAATACCAACGTTCTTTTTTTAGTGTGGACACAGAGCGTGTGGTTTTTTTAAGAGAAAGACTGTTTCTACTTGTTTTTTATTTCAAAAAATATGAACATTTTAAAATATGTTCACCATTTTTATATTCAATATTTATAAAAAATGTACCCTTTTTTGAAATGTTTGCATTTAAAAATATTCTGAAAATAATAAATCAAAATTGTTTTTGAAAGTCTTGTGTTAAAATGTGAATCTTAAAAAAATCCCATTTTTATAAAAATGATAAAAAATAAAAAATGTTACTTTTTAAAAGTTAAATATTCATGTTCTCTCGAAATGTAAAAAGACGATTGGCAAATTATTCCATGCACAACTACTCTTTTATCACATGACGGATGTTAAGGTGGCTTCTTCACATCCACACTTCAAACTCCAAAAAGAGATAGTTAGAATTGCATATAAGAAATGTTGTGCAACGGCACGCAGAAAGCAGATTTTGCTATTTTTGGCCCGTTGCAACGCACAGGCATTTGTACTAGTATTGCAAAATTCTATTAGATTTAACCCTAAGGCTTCAAAGTTATAAACAATCTAGTTTGAATTTGGTTCAAATTAATTAAAATCCCTAAATTCAATAATAACCCATAAACATTTGCTAAAGTTCATTTTAAGTTTCTAAACTTAGTTACAACTTAATTATCCTAATAAGCTCTTTAGGTTCAAATATTGTTTGAAGTATAGCTTCTGCTAAAATATGTTTAATGTCAATATTAAATTATTTTAAAATTGAACTACAATGGCTAACTTCAAACTATATTTCACTAGGTTCATTCTACAAAAATAATCAATTCATTTGGATTTATAAATTGCAAGTTACACCCAATTGAAATTTGAATTCATGTTGTTTGAATTTTAATTAAATATTAATGGACTACGTGAAAGTGTATTTATTGAGGATGATATTGCAAAAGAATTTGTCAATTTGGATTTACAGATAAAAAGTTGTGAGTGTTTGAAGTTCTAGGGTTTTTTTTTGAAAATCTACCATTTAATTCAATTTAGGAGAAATTCGAGTGGATAATGTTTTGGATAAGTCGGGTGGCGTGGCAGTTTCGTATTGGCTGATACCGATTCGGTTTAAGTGGACTGCTATGGTGCGTGCGATCAAAATCTAACAGTCCAAATTAGATCTAGTGGTTAGGGTTTCGGTGGTTCACCACAATCTCTCCGAAGAGTCGCTAGAAAACACGCGCATGGGGGCACTATGCTCGGGAGTTGTGAGATATGGAGGGGTTTCCAGGGTAGCAGAGGGCACAGACATGCTCGGCGTTGCTCGAGGAGATCGAAGGTGGCATCGGCTGGCCTCGAGGGTGACGGAGACTCGTGGGGCGAGCTCACTGAAGTTCGGTTGCGTTGGCGGGGCTTCGGGTGATGAAGCAGTGCTCGGGATTGAGTGCCTAATGATGAACCAAATGGATTAGACGATGCACGTGATCAAGGTGAACACGATGGAGAAGGTCGTGGGGCAAGACACTCACAGTGTCGCTGAAGTTGAGGTCATAACGGCGGCGAGGCTCGGGCTTCATTGAAGTCGGGCATAGAGGAAGTTCATGTCGCCACGAAAGATGTCCAGGGGGTCCACCGTTGTGCGGGCAGTCGAGTGGTGGTGGTGGTTGGTCTCGGGGTGACTGTACTCGCCGGAATCGACACTGGAGTTTCTAGGTCAGTGGCGGAGCTCGGGGGTTCACCGGCGAGGAGCCTGGTGGCGTTGTGAGGGGGATGCATAGGGGAAGTGGTGAGAGTGTCTGGGGCTATTTAATGGACATAGAGGTAGGAGCTGGCATGGACGGTATGTGCGCGAGGTGGAGATTGTGGTCGGTGTGCATGCGTGGGCGGTTGGAGGTTGGGGGTGACCCTGACTAGTGGGACCCACTGGTCAGCAACTTAGGGAGAGAGAGAGAGGGTGTGCGTGGGGTTGGGTTGTGGCTGGCTTAACTGGGCTAGCCTGGCTAGCTTGCTCGGTTGGGCATTTTTATTTTTCCATTTTTTGTTTTTTGTTTTGTCTTTGCCTTTTCATTTGAATTTGATTTGATTTTTCTATCCAAATAAAACTTTCCCTAATTTCAAATATGAATATTTATGCCAACATTTTATTTGGCTATTTTGAGCATACGTTTTCTGCACTTTATTTTCCATCTTCAATTTCAATTTGGTTTAAACCCAAATATGTTTGAAATCCAATGGAAAATTTGGCAGAAGGTCAAGCCTATTATTTGGATATATGGGATTCACTCTGTTGCTAAATAAATGCAAGCCCCTTTTCATAAAAATCCCCATTTGATTTTTGAATTGATTCCAACCAATCCACTCCAATCATTTAGGAAAATTTATTAGCGCTTGAATATCATCTGGGTCTTATTTAGAATAGCCTTATGCCCAAATAAATATTTTAATTTTCAACCTATATTGGGATTCTGATTTATTCCCTAAACCTTGTAGGGTTGATTCTGTTTCTCCCAAATTTCAAACAAAGGTTTCAATCTGGCCATAGGGTCCTTGACTCTCTAGGTGAATTCAAATAGTGCAAACACGTCAACCATCAAGAAAATTCCTAGACAATATTTAGCTAGAGGCCAACAAGCATAGGTTTTCTTAGAAAAAATAATTCCCTCACAAATCTCCTAGCCTAATGCAATGATGTTGCATTGACCACACATGTGGGCAATATAGTGCGATCTGACATAGAGCGTCCGTGTTGTATCCTTTTTGGTGAGACATATTGATAGCCATATGTTACAAAATGAAGGGAGGAGATGATATAGGGGTGTGGGTGGACTAGGGTCCACAGTTTCACTATTTTAGGGAACCACGACCCTTTTCCCCATTAAAACCAAGCTTGTCGTGAGCTGCATTTACACCACACGCACTCTCTCTCCTCTTTCCCACACAAGATCTCCTCGCCCTCGAGTTTTTAGCCGGTTTGGCTCGCCGCCGCATCGCCTTCGCCGGAATCCGTCCGCTCTCGCACTCATACGAGGTAGGAATCATGGATCCACCCACTCTTTCCCTCGTCATCCTAATCTTAGACGTGTTTGATGTGCGTTGTATTAATGACAGATTTTTGCGAAATCTACGAAGCCGATCTGGGATATAAGTGGTTTTAAGGGAGAATACAAGTTAATTTCTGTCAGGTGGTGTGGCGCACTTTAATTTTTGATATTATGATTCATTGATTTCATCTGTATGCTCGCGCCTCGACAAGGATTTCGAGGGCTAAGGTTTGGTCAGGGAGGGGTGGGGTGGGGGGATGCGGGATCTATCCCCGCATGATGAAATTGTTGTCGATTGGGAAGCAGAGTGGCTCGGTCTTCATGTTCTAGTTTTGTAAACATGTGTTTGTTAATTAGTAGAGTTAGGGGAACGAGAGACACAAGATGATGCATGTTTGTGCGGTGGTTCAGGGAAGTGCTTGGGCGGGTGGACATGCATCTTGGTATCCTCTAGCCATGATTTCCATATGGACCCCTCCCACCCTTGGTGGTCCAGCACACTTTAATTTTTTGTTATTATGACTCATTGATTTCATATGTGTGCTCGCCACGACAAGGATTTTGGGGGCTAAGGTTCGGTCGGGGAGGGGTGGGGTGGGAGGATGTAGGATCTGACCCCGCATGATGAAACGGTTGTCGATTTGGGAAGCAAAGTGGCCCATTCTTCAGGTTCTAGTCTGGTAAAGGTGTGTTTGTGAATTAGTAGAGTTAGTGGAACATGAGACACGAGATGATGCATGCTTGTGCGGTGGTTGGTGGAAGTGCTAGGGCGGGTAGAAATGCATCTTGGTATCATCTAGCCATTATTTCTATCTGAACCCCCCTTGTAGACCCCCTACGGTTTTTCTAATCCTCCAATTTTTGTTGATTTTCCACTCCTTGAAGGGACAATATGACATTTTTCTGGAACACGCAAGAGTTAGTATGACATTTTTGTAGAACACACAAGAGTCAGAATGAGATGTCTCGCAAAAAAGGGTATGAGATCAGTATATGCCACAATTGTTTTAACTATATTGGTGTAGTTGTGGTCCTTAGAGGCCCACTAGTGCACGACAAATTCTGGGCCTAGATTCCCTCTAGATGATCCAGGGCTCCAGGACAAAAACTAAAAGGTATACATGCATTTTAACATGCATGTCTCACTTTCTCCAAAAAATGCATGTCTCACTCTTTTTGCGTGTAGAATGACTTTACCTTTTGTCACCTATCTATTTTTTCCATTTTTGATGACACCACATTTGTCACCTCTATGAATTGAAGAGCATCGTGCTGTAAGACTCCTTGTACTAATCCATCCCCCGAATTAGAAACGACGATCTTGGCAGTAGTAGGCAGTGGCAAACGGCCACACGCGGTTTACTCATATACTTATCTCCCACGCTAACGTGCATAATGCTCAGTCGTTGGTACTGAGGCGTCTCAGTGGCAACCATCATCGGGTACCTATTGAATGGAACCAGCACACCCCCCGAGTTTGTCTCATATACCAGGCTTAACTTGTGGCCACATTTGGCGCTTTGGCAGTACCTTATCTATCCAGTACGAGACGAACTATCTACTAATGTATCTATCTATCTATAGCCCACCTTTTTCATCAATGACATGAATTCAATAGCTATCTAATGCTTTAATTGATGCTTATCTCTTGCATGCTGCATGCTATAAATAGGGGGAGCGGCACAAGACTGGACCACACACCAGAACCCACAAGAAAGAGTAGGTGAACGAGACCACAGTGGCGAGGAGAGATAGGATGGTGTCGGACATGAGCAAGGACGTGAATTTCTCCAAGGAAGAAGTCACCTCGCACCCGCGCGTTCTCGAAGGTGAGGAGCAGACGATTGCACCGGCACGGCAGTCTTCCATCTTCGCGCCAACATTGGACGAGCTGCAATACTCTATGTGCGAGGCAGGGCACAACTTTGGGTCCATGAACATGGACGAGTTCATGAGCAACATATGGAATGCCAAGGAGTTCCAAGAGGCGACCGGTGGTGTCTTGGTGGGCATGGAGGTGGCTCCGGTGGTGGGTGCTGATGGAGGCCGAGGTGGCGAAGATGCAGGAGGAAGCAACCAAGCCCGACAGGAGTCGTTCTCCTTGCCTCCCCCGCTATGCCGGAAGATGGTGGAGGAGGTGTGGGCTGAGATCAACAGGGAGACCCGCCTGGTGCATTCCCAGCCTCAGTCCGCGCGGCCCTCGCCATTGATTCCCGTCGAACCACCGGCGGGGAATGGTGGTGGGGTCGCGGCGAATGAACAGCGGGGGACGCTTGGAGAGATGACGCTAGAACAATTTCTTGTCAAGGTTGGTGTGGTCCGAGGATCTGGCACTGGCGGCCAAGCACCTGTGCCGGTCGGCATGGTCCATGGACAGATGAACCCTGCACCGGCCAACGACATGTTCCAGGTGATGGGCGATGGCATGGTGTACATCCCCAACGGGTATGTAGGGATAGTCGTGGTGCCGCCACCACCACCTCCTCAAGGTGGGGTGGGTATCGTGAGCCCAGGGTCGTCGGACGGGAGGAGCACCATGATGGAGGTTGACATGATGAACTGTATGGGCGACAAAACGATGATGGAGAACAGCGGCGCGCGGAAGCGCGGCGCTCCGGAGGATCAGTCCTGTGAGGGGAGCATCGAGCGCCGCCACCACCACATGATCAAGAACCATGAGTCAGCCGCACAATCGTGTGGCAGGAAGCAGGTACTTACTTGGCTGCCAAAATTGTTGGCTTTATGCAATGCCATTTCTGCAATGGTGGTAACTGGTAACAAGGTTGGTGACACTTACACTCTCTGTCTTTCTTAACCGGACAGGCTTATACCAAGGAGCTTGAAGCCGAACTAAACCACCTCAAGGAGGAGAACGCTCGTCTGAAAGCTGAGGAGGTACGAAGTTGCTTACCAATGAAAACCATGAGAAAATTCAGTTTTCTTAGTATTTCCAGTTCTTACCGTTACTAAACCGTTTCACCATTTTGTTGCAGAAGACGATTTTGCTGACCAAGAAACAAATGGTATGTACATTTTCCCACCATCATGTGGTAATTCTCCTACACTCGCCATCACTTGCCAATTGCTTGTGACAATCTAAATGCTAGGTCTTCAAATAGTCAATGTGTGTGTGCTGATGAAAACACCTTGTGGCTGTGATCTTTTATTTCTTACAGCTAGTGGAGAAGATGATGGAGCAGTCCAAGGAAAATGTGAACACCAAGAAGGGTGGCACCCTGTCGCGGCGCTGCGCTAGCTGCATCTGGTGATAGGTGACCCACCATTCAGCTTCCATAGTCATGCTGGCAGGAGGATGAGAATGAATAATGGTTACCTTTCCTTTCTAGAGCGGGGTGGTATCGTAATTTACTAGTAGTACCTAAAATCCATAAGGACCCAAATGTCAGTGTTTTTCTGGTCAAGCAAGTGAACTTATGTTGTTGTTACTGTTTATAGGTATATAGGTTTGTCAGAAACTTCAGGAAAATGGAACAAAAGAAAGTTAGCAATATGTTTATGTGTAATAGCACTTTAATATGATGTGATGCAATGTGTGTGGTCCATTTCTGATGGGGTCATTGCCTTTGTTCTTTTTTGAAGATTTGGATATGACACGCGAGTTGAGTTTAGTCACGTAGGCACACTTTTTCGCATCGGTGAAATTTGAGCCATTCAAATAGTTTTTAAATCCAGTGAAATTTGAGCTATTCAAATAAGTGGTCACATGGGATCCCATGAGACTTGACGATGATCCCCGTTCACAACGCTTGGGTAGTCGATTCCCTTTCCCCTCCATCGTGGCTCACTCCTTGAGGGTCCGGATAGCCTTGAGTTGCGCTTCCCAGTTGGCCAACCATGATGTCAATCATCAACCTTCATACTCTTACGGCTATGCATCAGAGGCCAACGGTGATTCTCTTTTTCTCAGAAAAATCCTCCTACACTTACCAACATTTGCGAATTGCTTGCAAGAACCTAATTGCCAAGTTTGAAAACAGTTAATGTGTGTGTTGATGGTAATACCCTATGGCCGAGATATTTTTACAGATGGTGAAGAAGATGGAATAGTCAAAGGAGAACATCAATGCCAAGAAGGGTGACGCCCTGCTACGGTAGTTGCATCTGGTGAATGGTGACCCACCATTCAACTTCCATAGCCTTGAATCTGGTTGTCTTGTGTGTTTGATGCAACTACAACAAAAATGGTGGTGCTGATAGCAGTTACGTTTTCTTTGCAAAGAGGGATGATATATTAATTTACTAGTGGTACCTAAAATCCATAAAGACCCAAATATCAGCGTTTATCTAGTCAAGCAAGTGAACTTGTGTTATTGTTACTGTTTGTAGGTGATGATGGGTTTGTGAGAAAAACTTCAAACAAATGGAAAAATTTTAGCAATATGTTGATGTGTACTCCGAAAGTCCCTTTCTACTTCTGAGCTTAATTGAGCTCAGGATGAACGGTAAATTAAACAAAATGAAAATACGTCAATAAACTCTGAATTTTTTTGGGTGTAAACTTTGACAAATGTTCTCAGTGCTTGTAAATTTCATCCCGAAATAACATTCAATTTTTTGGCATGACTTCCGCAAATTTTATTTCGGGATGAAATTTGCAACCATGAAAACATTTGTCAAAGTTTGAACCTGGAATAATTCATATTTTTTTCTTTTTTGATTTTACTGCTCATTAGAGAGCATATGAGGTCGGGACTAGATACTCTGTGTCTTGTGTACTCGCGCTTTAATATGATGTGATGCTATGTGTGTGGTCCATTTCCGGTTTATGTTGGAGTCTTTGCCTTTGTTATCTTCTGAAGAAGTGGAGATGACACACGAGTTGAGTTTAGTCACATAGTGCATCGGAGGCTAGGAGTGATCCTCCTTTTCTAAGAAAAAAAACCCTCATGCAATTACCGTCATTTGCTAATTGCTTGCAACAACCCAATAGTCAAGTCTTAAAATAGTAAACGGGTGTATGTTTATGGTAACACCATGTGGTCGTGATTTTTTTACACCCGACGTTGAAGATGATGGAACAGTCCAAGGAGAATGTCAACACCAAGAAGGGTGGTGCCCTATTGCGGCATTGCGACAGCTGTTACTAGAGAATGGTGACACGCCATTTTGCTTCCATTGTTGTGTTGGTAGGAGGATGAGGAGGAACTGCATTCTGGCCATTTTGTGTGTTTGATGCAACTACAACAAAAATTTAGTAGTTACCTTTTCTTTTTGAAGGGGGGTGGTATAGCAATTTATTAGTAATACCTAAAACCCAGAACAACCCAAATGTCAGTGTTTATCTAGTCAAGCAAGTGAACTTGCATAGTTTTTACTATTTATAGCTAATGATGGGTTTGTTAGAAACTTCAGACATATGGAACAAAAGAAAATTAGCAATATTTTGATGCGCGCTCGTGCTTTAATATGATGCGATGCTATGTGTGTGGTGCATTTCGGATGTGTGTATAGGAGTCTTCTCCTTTGCTTGCTTATGAAGAAGTGGAGCTGACACACATTACTCACGCAGGCACACTTCGCTACATCAGTGAAATTTAAGCATTTAAGTAATGTGTACATCTAGTGAAATTTGTGCTATTCAAATCAGTGGTTACGTGGGATCCCGTGAGACTTGACGGTAGTCACCCATTGCAATGCTTGGGAAGTCGATATCCTATCCCCGCCATCATGGCTCGCTTCTTGAGAGTCTGACTAGCCTTTAGTTGTTCTCCTTGGTTGGCCAACTATGACGGCGATCATCAATCCTCATACTCTTGAGCTATGTGCATTGGAGTCCAAGGGTGATCCTCCTTTTCTAGGAAAAAAACCCTCCTACACTTACCACCATTTGCCAATTTCTTGCGACAACCTAATTGGAAAGTCTTAAAATAGTTAATGTGTGTGTGCAGATGGTAACACATGTGGTCATGATTTCTTTCACATCTGTTAGAGAAGATGATTGAATAGTCTATGATGAACGTCAACACCAATAAGGTTAATGCCCTGTCGTGGCGCTGCAACAACTGCATCTGGTGAACGGTGACCTTCCATTCAGCTTCCATAGTTGTGCTGGTAGGAGGATGAGCAAGACTTGCATTCTGGCCATTTTATGTGTTTGGTGCAACTACAATGACATTTGTGGTGTTGATAGTAGAGTTACCTATTTTTCGGAGTGGGGTGGTATAGTTGACGGTGTCCTGGACAAGGGGGTACTCACCACGTCGTCTCCCGACCAGTGGGTCAGGCCGAGGACCCCCATGGCGGTTCACTATTGGGCCAGTTCGGGCAACCCATGCCGCATACAAGGGAGATTCCACAAGGACTTGGCGACCAGGACAAGGACTCTCCTAAACCCTAGGCCTCCGGTGTGTTATATAAACCGAGGCCAGGCTAGTCAATAGATAATCCCATATTCATTAGATCAATCGCGTGGTAGATACATGTACTCTGTACTACACCCTATATGAATACAATCAAAATCAGGACGTATGGTATTATCTCTTCGAGAGAGCTCGAACCTGGGTAAAATCCTGTGTCCATGTTACCATCGTTCCAAGACGCCTAGCTTAGGACCCCTACTATGAGATATGCCATATTTGACACCGACATTGGTGCTTTCATTGAGAGCCTGTTGGGTGATAGCCATGGACCGATGGGATGATCAGGTGATATATTTTCAGTCAGATCTGTTCTATGTAAATTATCATTTCTATAGATTATTGTTGTCGCCTCGTACTATTTGTTCGCAGTGCTAGATCAAAATCAAAAAAACTTCTAGCGGTCATGCCCGACGATCCGCGATACGACAGATCCGAGCTGTTATGGAGCTACTAGTAGCAGACCTAACCGATGACGACGAACTACACCTGCATGGCCATGGTGGGTTCAAAGAAGCATGCGGCAGCCTAGTTTTGGAGTATTTGCTACGTAAAGGTGGGTTGGCCGACATGGATTCTGACCGGCAGAGGCGTACAGGGAAGATTACATCTTTCCTTCCTCTAATTTGTTATTTACCATATTAAATCATATGCTTGGAGGGAGGCTACACTTTTGGGTAGTTGTCTCTACATGTACATTTCGCGTGTGCTAGTCCGGTTTGACTTGATGTGTTCTTACGTGATGCTGTCGGCTCCAAATCCTCTATACCTGTTAGCAGATGAATCATCAGGTGCCATGGTTCCAGTTAATTACTCTGTACGAATTATTTGTCCAGAGTATATCCTTTTTGCTGGTGTGCTTTCTTTTCTGTATGTAGACTACAACGGCCGACATATCTCAACGATCCGGCATCCTGGCATTAACAGTGGCCGCGCCATGCCGCCGACTCCTCAAGCTGATGTCGTCGTCCTAGCCGAAGGGTTCCAGATGAGGTGCAAATGCAGGCAGCCAACTAGATTTGCTATACATGGGCCAAACCCAAGGAAAAAGAAAATCCAGTCCGACCGGCGATGCTCAGCCCGAGGATACCGTGGAGCTAGCGCATTGGTACTAGTACTATTCCTAGATGCAAATCCATGAGCACCCACATGTGTCTCTTCGTATTGCTACAACAAATAAACCAGGAGCTATTAATCCTAGTAATTTTTGCTTGCTTGGGTTTATTTTTCCTGAGAAATTATTACTCTGGTTTGTTCCATCTTCTATACACAGGACTATCAAATGGTTGCCGCATTAACGATGGTTGTGTGATGGTTCGGTCAGTTTCCCATCCGCAGTTCAGTGAACGCCTCATCAGGGACTCGGATCGCCCTGTGAAATCAGGCTTTGTCACACCGATGCCCCGCATCAACATTGGCTTCGACGCCAGGCCACATCTCTTTAAAAAAATATTTTGCGTAAATTAATTATGCGAGGATTTTTTATATGTATTTATATTATTATTTTTTTGGACTGCTCTATTTTATATGTGTAGGTAATCGACTTCGACTGTGTCACGCGGTCTCTTCGGCAAGTCGACATTGTCGTCCCAATCGGCATAAATCGGCCCGCGTGATCACCTTGTGGGTCGAATTGCCATACCGACATGTTCTGTTGCCTCGGGGACTTCGGGATCGCTGAAAGAGCTCTACCTCATCGGGTGTTCGGCACACGGGCCATATTTATTTTATTACTCACTTTGCATAAATTATTAATTATGCAACAAATTTTTTTAATTTATTATTATTACTATTATCTCCGGCTTGCACTATTTTCTGTGCACAAGTAAATGATCTGGGTCGGGCAGTGTTGTCACCTCAGCGTACCAACGTACCACGTCACCTCGGATGGACCGGGGGCTTCGTCATCACTTCATTAACCCACACCGGGGACTTCAGCCTCACATTGCCAGCCTGCATTGGTCGTGCTATATCGCCACTTTGGAGTGCACAACTCTTCACTCCGTCACCTCGGGACCAGCTTGGGGGTTGGGACCTCATCCCGCCGTAAGCTCGGACCGCATCATTTACACCGAGCACATTAACTAGCTAAGTCGCTTTCATGCTCAATTTTTTTAATGTTTAATTTTTGTTCGGTTTGACCAAGCATTATATTTGTGTTAAACAAGAAACTTAGTTTGTTAAAAATGTTATTTCTTAAAAACATTTCTCTACCCAAGTTAACTAGGGGCTCTTAAATTTAGATGAGCCATTTTATGATAAATTATTTCTTCTTAGTCGTTGCAAGTCTTTTTCTATCACTCCTTTTTCGATGCGAGTGTGTGGTCAATAGCCGGCGATCCTAGTTTCTCTCTCAAAGACGCTTTTAGTTTGCTAAAATGGCCTAATGAGAAGTACTCCGCCTTCGGGATAGGAGGTTGCAGCCGTAGGCTGGCCCGATTGAAGTCTTGAGATCGGATGTGTCATATTAATGCACCATAGAAGCACAAAAATTTTAAGACCAATTTTCGGATTTGCACCAAATGACTTGATTAGTTCGGATGTCAAGCTCTTACATAAGTTCTTTGGCCTTTTGAGCTTATGTTACTTTTTTAGCTATTTGTATGTTTTTCTTTCAGGAAGCGGGACATCCTCATGACCGAGGTGCCCTGCATTCTAATTCAACTCGGGATATTAACGGGGGGCTGAGACTACAGCCGAACCCACCAAAACCAAGGTACCCCATGGAGTACTCGGCAAAGCGTCCGCAGACATTGCTTTATATGCATCCGTTTTGAATTGTGTCTTCAGTCAACAGTTGGATTGCCTGGCTCCTATGCTTGCCGCCTATGTTTCGCTTGTTTGGCTCGGTGTGGAAAGGGAGAACCACTGCGATTGTGCTTCCAGCTCGCACGGTTAAGCGCCTCAGTGGAGAAAGCCGAAAACTGACTGTCACAATAAGCATAAACTGGTCAGTGATCCGATGATTGTGTTAAACTATAAGATTGATGGAGGTCACCCGTGATAAATGACAGGCCGTTCATAACATTGGCCGAAGTGTTAACGGCTTGACCTCGGCTGACGCTGAACACTAACCTAGGGCTAGTAACTAGCCTCCCAACTTGAAGCTCCTATGACTAAGCGAAAGTTATAAAGCCCGCATATCTGATTGCCTTGTTTCCACTAACACAACCGCCACCGGGCACCGAGACGTCGGCTAAGGGTTGTCTTGTTACTGCGGAAACACTCTGCATAGTGATACGTCCTTTTTGCCTTATGTTTTCTTACTGTTATTTATGATGTTTTTATCCATAATAACAACTTTGATCCGTGGGCATAGACCAACTTAGGCCAAAAGCCTAAGCTTGGGGGAGTACGTATTTCTCACCGACATTACATTCATGTTCACATACTCATGCCAGTTGTCGGTGCTCATACTTTTTCATTGTAATATCCATGCTAGTTTATTTTCTTTTTAAGCATTCTTCTTCTGTGTTTGAAAAACCGTAAGAAAAACAAAAAAATAGTTGTAGTTTTTAGCTAGTTTACTTTCCATGCCTGTAGTAGGAGTAACTAAAAGAAAACCCAAAAAAGATTTCTCGTTCTTATGTTGGTTGATTGGGAGCATTCCCGTGTAAATAGTTTTGTTTCTTTTCTTTTTCTTTGGGGGGCCAAGAGGAGAAGACCATGATGAAAATGTTGAGTGGCTCTCATATGCATTAGTGTTGATCTAACAATGAGCCCATATTACCTTGTCTTCTCCCTTGAATTGAATGCTTGCAGATTCCAGCTTAGTCCAATGCACGTGCACTATTATTATTATTATCCACACTATTCGGTTGTGCAAGTGAAAGGCAATAATGACGATATATGATGGACTGATTGAGATGAGAGAAGTTGGTATGAACTCAAACTCTCTAGTTTTTTAAAATATGTTTAGTTCATCGTTCCTAATTCAGACTATTATGTATGAAACATGTTTGCAATGACAATTAGAGATTATAGTTGCTCATGCCATGCTTAATATGCTAGGAGTTTATAATGGTTTACCTTGCGTGCCAACATGCTATTAAAATGGTTGTGATGTGGTATGATAGGTGGTATCCTCCTTCGAACGATTCGAGTGGCTTGACTTGGCACATGTTCACGCATGTAGTTGAAACAAAATCAACATAGCATCTATGATATTTATGTTCATGGTGAATTATATCCTACTCATGCTTGCATTCAGTGCTGATTAATTTTAATGCATGTTCATGACTGTTGTCGCTCTCTAGCTGGTCGCTTCCCAGTCTCTTTCTAGCCTTCACTTGTACTAAGCGGGAATACTGCTTGTGCATCCAATTCCATAAACCCCAAAAGTTATTCCATATGAGTCCACCATACCTTCCTATATGCGGTATCTACCTGTCGTTCCAAGTAAATTTGTATGTGCCAAACTCTAAACCTTCAAATGAAATTCTGTTTTGTATGCTCGAATAGATCATGTGTCAACTAGGGTTGTCTGTATCTTCCATGCTAGGCGGGTTATTCTCAAGAGGAGTGGACTCCGCTCCTCACTCACGAGAAAATGGCTGGTCACCGGGATTGTAACACCCCAAAATTTTGACCTTGATTTATTAATTAAAATTTTCCCAGGAAATTAATTTCTTTTATTTTTTGGTTTTATCTTTTAATTTCATAACACTTTGTCCCTCTGAATTTTTGAGTTTTTTCCTTCTAGGTGGAAACCTTTCAAAAATATTGTTGGACTTGTATATCTTCCCAAGACCATTTCTTTTTATCAGTGGGATTATTTCTACAATTATTTTTCCTGAGCTTTATTTCTTTTAAAAAATGATTTTTTTTCATAAGTTTTAGAGTTCCATTTGCACTACAACCTATTTAAATATTTCTTTAAAAATTCCACCAAAATTGGGGGATGTTAGTAGTAGTGTATAATTCAACTTTATGCAAAAACCCATTGGTGTTCTTTGAAAAATTTGAGCAAATCATCCTCATCTTCATTCTGGTCCAGTTTGGTGTTTTGTACTGCAACCATGTTTTATCTTGCCATATTACCCTTGATTTTTCTCCTGCTTATAGACCAGCCTACCAAACCCTTAAGTCCAGGAGATTGGACCCATTGGAGTATTTTTTGTCCATGCAATAATGCCCTTCACTTTCTGTCCAGAACTGAAGATTTGCAAAACTTGCACTAACAAGTTTCTGGTTTTGCCCAAATAGCCTTGCCATCATCACTTGCACCTAAAGAGATCCCAACCTAAAGATTTGGGCCACCAGAAGAGATGCCTAGAAGCCCATGGCATTCTGTCGAGCACCTTGTGGGCATGGCTAGTTTTGGCTTAGTTTTTAGTTTGCGTTGTGAACATGATCCCCTGACCTAACAACCATGTCCGCTAATCTCCTAGCCACCTCTAACCTAGTCATGTTAATTGCCAGCCTCACCCAAGCCCTCTAGGCCACCCTGGCTTTCTATCGAGCATGTAGCGTGCGTGCTCTGGGTGCGCCCAGAGCGCACGTTTTGCACACGCACGCAACCGAGCTGCCACGTCTTGCCCCTTGCCTTTGCTCGCCCGCAGGGCCGCACCCCATTCTCGTCCGCTCGCCAGAATCCTCCAAGCTGCCCCTGGCACCCTACATCACCGCCGTCAGAGCCCTCTTGGCGGCACGCCGGTGTCCGCAACACGCCCCTGCCATGGCAGCGCCGCCCAAGCCACAACCGCCCGCCAGCTGCCCTCTGGAACAGCTCGAGCTCCATGAGCCCGTCCGCTAGCGCCCGTCGCCGCCATGTCGCCCTGCCAGCAACAGAATGGCGGTTCGCCGGCGTTCTTATCCGCAGCCGCGGGAACCGACCTTGACCACCTATAAAAGGAGCCCCCGAGCTCGTCCAAACCCTCAGGCGACCTTAGGCCATCTCCCTAGTGCTCCCATAGCCAGCAATCAACGGAGGGAGGCCGTCTGCCTCGTCTCCGGCCAGTTCGGCCGCTGCCACGCTCCGGTGCCGTACGTCGCGAGCAGGGCCTCCCCAGTTCTTCCAGCACCACCGTCCGACTACCCTCAACCGTGCGGAGCCGCCCCACCTCTCTAGCCCGATCGGGAGCCACCATAGCTCGAGACCTCGATCCACCCGAAACCACCGTCCGCCGCGGAGCTCGCCGCCGGCGACCGCCTCCACCCCCGCCAGCCTATCAACCACTGGGAGGACCGCCCTGGACCAGCGGATCCATCCCCGCCCTCAGAATCCCGCGGGGAGCCGCCGTTCGTCGGCGGTAATCGCCGGAGCCCCACCACCGCTCGGCCAGAGAAGGAAGGAGGGCGCGGGCGACTGGTCAAACCTGACCAGTGGACCCGACGGCCCCACCTGCCAATGACCCCAGCTCTGCCGACGTGTTTTAAGTGGAAACGTAAAACACAGGAGTATGTGTTCTCTGTCTCGAAAGCGTATTCTTATTCGAACCATTTTTCTTTTTCTGTTTAATTTAAAAATAGATTTTGACTGAAACTTTGACTAGCTATAACTTTTTAAATATAACTTCGTTTGACCTGATTCTTTTTTTTGTTTCCCAAATTTCATCTAGTTTATTTCCATATTTATTTGAAAATTTTCCAAACAACTTTTTTGTACTGTTTTGAG